AAAAAAGGTGTGGGCCACCAAACCTGGCTCAGACACAGTTTCTTCATAAGATACTTACCATCTGCACAGTAGCATCCATCAAGACAATGAAGATTGCTCCCAAGACACTGTTTCTCAAATGTGCAGCTCGGTGGGCAACAACTGATGCAATCTCGGTGCACAAAGCTATCATCACATTTATCAGCTGCAATGAGCAGACAGTGAAAGGTGTGGGCCACCAAACCTGGCTCAGACACAGTTTCTTCATAAGATACTTACCATCTGCACAGTAGCATCCATCAAGACAATGAAGATTGCTCCCAAGACACTGTTTCTCAAATGTGCAGCTCGGTGGGCAACAACTGATGCAATCTCGGTGCACAAAGCTATCATCACATTTATCAGCTGCAATGAGCAGACAGTGAGTCCGTTCTTTCTTTCCTCTTTCAAAGAACTTACAATATTTAGAAAACTTGCAAATTCACAAATGTAATATTAATTTTAAAACACTTGTAAGTTATTAATTTTGAGTACTGGTGTAAACAATTCTAGGGCAAGACTAAAAGTAGCAGAAATGCACATGGCTTGAAAACTGAAAACATACTGCATGCTGGAAAGTCGTCCCTCCAGTCTTGAATAGGGAAGCCTGCGTGAGAGCAGGCTCTAGCGTACTCAGTGGCTGCTCGGCAATAGGTTTCATCATCATCAGTTCTAAAAAGAAAAACAAAAAACAGCCAGGATCACATAAACAGATCACACAAACAGAATCACAGACAGAAATTCTGCCTTAAAGCTGCTGGGTCCTCAAAATGATGAGTGCCTAGTGAACATTATAATATTAGTTGATGTCAGTATGCATGTCTTTCATAATATGCCTAATTAGAGACAACAATGTCAAAAACACACATACAAGGGATCCTAGCTGAATAAGACTACCTAAATTTAGTATAACATCTTTATCAAAGCCTTTCAACAATTTGACCATTTTTTCTGAGTCAAGGAAAAATTACAATGAAAAATATATCTTAATTAAAAAACCCTTGCGTGTATTTTTTTTGCTCTCACACAAAGCTTCCCAGACCCTTTAAAATTTAATAATCATCAAGTTCATATAAAATTTAAATCATATTGGGGCTAGAAAGTTGGCTCAGTGGTTAAGAACATTGATTGCTCTTGCAGAGGATCCGAGTTCAATTCTCACCACCCACATAATGGCTAACAGCTGTCCATAACCCCAATTCCAAGGGAATCTGATGCCCTCTTCTGACCTTCATGGGCACTGCATGAATGAGTACACTTATATGCACGCAGGCAATACACTCATTCACATAAAATAAAAATAATAAATAAAATAATTTTAATTAAATCATATTAAAACATAAAATTATGCTTCAACAAAAACATCAAGTAAGAACATTACTTGAAAACACCATGTTCTGAATGTCCAATGATCTGCAGCACTCACGAGTACCACAGTTGCTTTGCAGAATACAAAACATTTTTGAAAGACTGAATAAATAACATTTAACTTATGATTTAAAACACAGTCTTTGAGCTCTTTCACAAAAACTAGGCACTTTTATAACATTGCCACAATTAAACATTCTCTAGTTATTTTCTGGTGATCACTTTAGAAGCTCTCCAAACAATAATTTCTTATGAGATCTGCCAGTGCCCAAAGCAGATTAACAAGGTGCCTTCAAAATAAACAGATTTATAACAAGGTAGTAGGCTTGGTTTTCAGCTCAATCCATCCTCAAGATTGAATAGTTAAATATCTTAACAGATAATGACCTTAAGAATGCTCCATTTTGTGACTCTTAACATTTTCACCATCTCTGTAGTAAAAACCACCTTCTCAAATTGCCCTTATCCTGAGCTACTGTAATTGGAGCCGAGCAGTTTATCTAGTCCAATTAACTGAGCTTTGGAAGGGAAAAGGGACCCGGGCGGATAAACTTCAGAAGCTCAGAAAAATCTAAAACTACAAACAAGGAAAGTCTTTCTGAAAAATGATATAGGTCAAAAGTTGTTGCGTTTCTGGAAAAGACATTAAGTTCATGGTTTACTTTAAAATATGTGCATGTTACCTACAACTAATGGTGCTTTTGAAACTTAGCACAGAAAGTAATTTTTGGCTTGCCAGTCCAATGCAATGACTACTCAAATATCTGTCATTTACTATTGTCCATGTTGCTCTAAGAGCCATGCTAGACACTCCATCTTATGGCATCTTATGAAAAAAAAAATTGCATTTGGGCAGGAAAGAAATTATTATCCTAACTAAATTGCTGAGAGGAAATGAGCTTATCTTCCATATTGGATGTTAACTTTAATGAGGAAAATGAGCAATAGATAATCGTTGTTTCTAATCCAATTGAGTGTGACATGCCAAAACTAAAGTCATCTCTTTGCTGCCAAGTTTGACATTCTTACAAGCAAAATGAGGAAAGCATAATTGCAAGGAATGTATTGTTCCAATTCAAATGCTAGCTGCTCTGTGTAGTCTTGGATACACTCCTTAATGTCTGCACATCCATTACAAGTTGTGCAAAGGACTGTGCCATCTCTGGGGACCTGCTTCTCTGCCCCACTAGAATATGAGTTTGCAGGGCAGAAACTATGTCAACAGTGTTTGTGTATCTTCAGGTGTGACACAGCTCAGCTCGGAATAGATGCACAAAAGATAGATGGTGAGTCAAATTCAGTATGCGTCATAATTGAAGCAGGAAATTAATGTGTGTTCAGCCAAATCACCTGTTCATTCTAAGGGTACAAGCTCTTTCTGATTCAGTTCTAAAATACAGAAAATGAAGAGAAGCATTAATTTCCTATTGAACCAAAGAAGAATGGCAAGAAGGTGTAGTCCTGAATGAAACACTTACAGAACTGAAGGCTACTTCTCAGAGCTTCCACTTCTGCTTTGTCAATGTCCACTTAGCTCAATAATGATACCCTTCTGATATCACCTACCTGCTCTGCCCCTAAACTAGTATTTCCACCTCAAATACACCTCTTAAGGATTGAGCTAATTACAACCAGCATGAGGTAATACTTTATCCTACTGTTTCATTTGTTATAGAAAAAGCAAAACTGGAATTTCAAAAGATTTACAGTGTGAACTTCTCATTGATGAAATTTCGCACGAAGTAGATGTGGGAGAGACTGGTTTCTCTCTAGTTCCCTCTTCTTTTCAGTATAGTACAAGTACATTGCATATATCCTAAATAGATGCATTTCCAACAACTAACTTTCCTTGTTTCTAGAAAGAACCACATTTCTAAATTCTCACCCAAAATGTTGAGAATGAGAGTATATGTGACTCTTTCAGGTCAAAAATGCCTCGCTTTCTGACAGCTAACATGGGAACATGATGGTGGTGAACGAGTTTGGTCCTTGAAACTGAGAATAATGAGGTTCATGGTGTGTCAACATGATTGCTGCAGAGGCACTGCGGTATGGAACAAGGAGCTTATGGAACAAGGCCGTGATATCAATCCAAGAGAAATTACCAGATTGTTCTTTTAAATGAGAGAAGTATCAACATCCAATTTAGGCCAATCCACTGTTATTTTGGCTATTTACACAGCCAAATAATATCCTAAATTAATAAATAAAAGATGATTTTCTTGAATCTACTAAATGATACTTCATCTCAGCCTACAGAAGAAATTGGTGTCAAAGACACCAATGTCAAAGCAACTGAGAAGACTTCTGGACAATGCACAGCACTCTAGGGAAAGAGTAATTTTTTAATTCTGTGTAAATGGGGGAGTAAGGGCCAGACCCTTACTTTGGGAACCATCAAAGAAAAAAAATTGAGGCAAAGTACAAAGATATAGCATTTTTAAAAGTCTTTTCTTTTTAATTTGTTGATTTTTTTGTGTGTGCATCTCATACAGAACATCCCTCACAATCTTATTCATCTGTATACCCACTTCCCAAATGGCACCCTCCCATAAGCCCCCACACTGGAGCCCATATACTCTGCCATCCCTGTTACTGTCCACTGCGTTGTCGGGGCCCCAGCCATTCCCCAGTGCTTGTCCATCTGCTGAATCTAGTCAGCCTTTCTAGAGATCCTTGTTTTAGGAAGATCAGCTCTTCCTCATCTAGCAGCAATCAGTTGTCAATATTCCTTTAGATAAGATTGGGGTCTGCTGTTCATTTTCCCAGCTTTATTCTGGGTTACTGTCTGTGAGTCCTTTGGGCTACCATTTTTCAAAGTTTTTTTTTAATACACGGTAATGTCACTACCCACTATTTTAGGCAGAAGACAAGAAAATTTGAATCTTGCCTTGTACACTTGTTCAGGAATCCCTGAAACTAGGAAGCTGTGCATATAAATCAAAGTACGACTGCACTCTACTCTAAGTTAGCAGATAAATCTGTTTATTATTTGGAAAACAGCATTACATTCAATATGCTTTTATAATAAATAGTGTATCTAAAGAAGAGTATAGGTAACGTAATTTCAATACTCCTTCAACCTTCTTTCTTTGGTCTCACCTTTGATAAATGTAAAAATCTTAACAAGCTACCGAAGACTCAAATAACTTTACACAACCAAAACCAAAAATATTCAATTGTTTCTTGAAACTCATAAAATATACTAAAATCCCTAAGCTGTTCTTGAAACTTCAAGATGTCTAATTACATATTCTTGGTAATTACAAAAACAAAATTAAAACCTACTTCAACAATGGGTTTTATCATAAATTTTATGATGAGCAGAGTATGATTAATTTGTTGCCTAGGCAGCTTCCCATTCCAGGTGGTGTTAACCTGGGGCAGCACACAGCAATCTGTGACCATGGGTAGAAAAACTATTAAACGCTTATTTCTAGTGATCTCTAATTGAAATGTACAGCATTTCCTTTGATTGTACAAACAAATCAAAATGTTCTTAGCAATCTGTGGTTTTTTTCAACAACATGTCTCAAGGTTATTTTTCATATATTCTCACTTTCATTCCCCATTCAGTTGTAGCAGACATTGCAAATGATTGTTTATACTCCTTTCTGTCAAATTTCAATAGCTATGAAAATGAAATATACATAATGCATATATAAGGTATATATTATATATCTAAAAGCACACATGTATGCTAGAAACCCGTTTTTCACTATTTTGATGACTTTCATTAGTTTCTTTTACAATCTTATTTTTTTATTTTGTGACTTTTAAACATAGTTTTAAAGAATTTTCTGCAGACATCTCCAGAATCACAAAAAGATCAGTAGACAAATGTCTAAGAATCACTGGACTCTGTTCATAATGCTATGTAAAACATCTGATGATGCCTGTTACACAGACAACTGTTAATAAATAGCTGTTAGTACAGCTTATGTTTTACATTTAGAAATGCATTTTCAAAGCTACTGAAATGGCTAAGCCTCAGAAATACAGTTTGCTCTTTTTTGCATAAAAAATTTATGACAAATACTAATTATTTCACTTACTTGCAAAGATCATTAACACAGCTGGCAATATATAAATATGGGTCGATGTATTCATGGCAGCTGAGGAAAGGAAACTGCAATAGTATCTGGCACTTGAAGAAGATCGCCTGTGCAAAAACAGATGTCAGTCACCAGAACAAATTCATGTGTATATGTGACTGCTCATTTCCACTTTGTACTTAACTATTTGAGAACTTTTTGTTCTTACCAGGATATTTTCATGATGAGTTACTAAGTTTATAAATTATTATATCCACTATTTCTGAACTAAGCTTAAAGTCATTCCCCATTGCAATTACATGATCTGGATTTAATAATTTAGTTATTTTGTATTTTCACAAAGAAGTGCTTAATGTTAAATGTGCATATGTATATTAAGTCCAACATGCTCAAAATTTCTTAGAAATTTTACCTCAAATGCTGGCATTCCACTGGAACATGGGTTTGGAAAATTGGAGGGAGTGGGTACACATTTGGTGTCATCTGGAGTTTGCACCACCCAGCTATTTGCAAACATAGCAATGTCCTCTGTGTAGTCCTCTTTGCAGACAAACATACACACAAATAGGTGTGACAGTATCATTTTCCACAAACAGACAATGTTAATCAACATTAACCCTCTGTTCAAAAAGTTAAACTCAATAAAGTTATAATTATCAATGTGATACCAAGATATGACATTACTTTAACACATTAAAAATAAATGGAACATAGTACAGGTACCAAATAAAAGTCAGTACCACTAGAGGAAAAAAAAAAACTGTTGAAATGTAATGGCAAAGTACTTAAAGCATGTGTAACCAGAAATATTAACTAACTAGCATTCAGTTGTCTTAGAGGAGAAAAACAGGTACAGGTATAAATAAATAAAAATAAATAAATAAATAAATAAATAAATAAATAAAGTAGAAGATTTTTTTCCAGGCATCTCTCATCATATTTTACATTAGTCAGAACCTTACTAAAATTGCCCTTCCAGGACTGGAGAGACATGTCTGTCAGCAATTTCTTGCTGCATAAGCAAGAGGATGTGAATTTGATCACCTCAACTATACAAAAATGCCGAACATGGAGGTGCCCGCTTGTAATTCCATTGCTGAGGCAGAGACAAGCAGATCTCTGAGGCTCACTGGCAAGCTGCTGTAGCCTAGTTGGTGAGCTCCAGGTCAGTAAGAGACCCTGTTTCAGGATCATGGACCTGAGGATGACACCCAAAGCTGCCCTCTGGCTTCCACATGTAAGTAACACATAAGTGTGTGTGCGCGTACACACACACACACACACACACATACACATGCACATGCTTCTGCACACACATATAAATGAACACATTCACACAGACATATACACATACAATTAAAAGTTTCAATTGAAAGCAAACAATAAAAAATTTATTGAGCCCATAAAGACATTTCAGAAAACATTAATATAAGCAATGAAAGACTAAAAAAGAACCTAAGGAAAACAATCCTAAGAGATGAGTATATTTTGTATAAATATGATAACCTGTAGACTGAAACATATTTTTAAGAGTCCAGTGTTAGCCTAGCATGGTGGTGCATGCCTCTTAATCCCAGAACTCCAGAGGCAGAGGCAGGCAAATCTCTGTGAGATCATGGAAAGCCAGGTCTACATTGTAAGTTCTGACCATCTGGGCTACAAGGAGACTGTGCCTAAGAATTAAAAATAGGGATTGGAGAGATGGCTCAGCAGTTAAGAACACTGGTTGTTGAAGACCCGGGTTCTAATCCCAGCACCCATATGGCAGCTAACAACTGTCAGTAACTCCAGTTCCAGGGGATCTGACAACCTCTTCTATCCTCTGCTGGCATTTCATGACAGGAGTGCACTCATCTATACACAGACAATATATGGATGCACATAAAATAAAAATAATAAATAAAATATAAAATAAATAAATGAATAATTTAAAAAATTAAAAAGAGCCCAGTACTAACTAAAAAGCCTAAGCTGACCCAAAATCCAAGTAATATTCAAAAGCAAGAGTTAGGAGCTCACGTATGAGCCAACAATTTGGTGGTAAGCAGTCCTGACTAAGTGACAAGTTGGGTTTAAATTGACTCATCACCTAGCCTTTTAATAAATTCAGGACCTATATGGAAACTTATCCTACTCCTCATTCAGATGAAGGCTGAATCTCAAATCCCTTGGAAGTGACAAAAGCAAGCAAAATGATATCTCAAAGTTCCGTCTAAGACAAAGAGTTCAGAACAGAGTTTTGGGTTCTCTAGATTTGGTCACTGGTGCCAATTACTTCACCATTGAATACAAAATGTCAAGTACAATGTTTTACCACTCTCCTTGACTACTTTGAAGACAGGAAGGTAATGTCTGTGGGCTACTAACAAACACTGGGAAGGCTACTTCAATTCATTATCTTACAAGAATGCTTTGCTCTCCTTGTGTAAAATCCCAAACTTTCTAGTAGCCTGGAAGACCGCCCATGGCCTGCATCTGCCCTCCTATACGCCCTTCCCCACCCACATTTATTCTCAGGCTCTCACACCAGATCTTGCACAGCCTTCTCCAGTCAACTGGGCTTTTGGCTGCTCTTCAGACACCTAAGTGCATTTCCACCTCAGCATTCTTGCTCTCTTCTTCTGTCAAAACCACTCTTCTCAGATGCTTAGGCAGGAAGATCTCAAGATCAAGGCATCCCCTGGCTACAGACTAAGCTCAAGGTCAGCCTGGCAACTTAGTGAGACTCTGTCTCAAAACTAAGTTAATACAGTTGGGCTGTAGCTCAGTATCATAGCTCTTGTCTAACATATACAAGGTCCTGGGTTCGACCCTAGTAGAAAAATCAATAATTTTTAAAGAACATTCTTTCCTGTTTCTTCTCCTATTTCATCTAGGACTTCCTTCTTAATGTGACCTCCCGAGAAATAACTTCTAGATTAATGCCAACCTGTGTTGTTTTATTGCTCTTATCTCATTTCCCACTTTCAAGGGTATTATTTTTCACAAAGATTATATTTTAATTTGTCTTTTTATCTTCTAAAACAATGAGAGATTGCCTTTGCTATTTATTTTTTTTCCTGTATCCTCAGTTCAGTTTCTAATGTATAGCTCTTGCTCAAAATATATTGAATACATGAATAAAAAAATAAGGGGAATTTTCAATATTTATTAAATTATATTTTTGATCTTTTTTTTAAATTTGTCTAGACTACTTTGTAGTCTCCAGTATTTTTAGAAATGTTACACAGTGAACATGCTCTACTCTAAAGTTCTTATTTAAAAGTTGAAAAGCTGTTGTTCTTTTTAAGTAATGTTATAGCCATGTTTCATATATATGATATAATATAAATATATATATATATATATGCTTTTGGGGGAAACGGGGTCCCACTATGTGATCTTAACTGGCCTGAAACTTGCTATATATACCAAGCTGGCCTTGAACTTACAGAGATCCACTTGCCTCTGCCTCCCTAGTGTGGAAATTTAAAGGTGTATACCACCACTCTCATCTGAAAATATTAAATTTTAAAGCTTGAAGAGCAAAAATATCTCCCCAAGTCTCATTTATTTCAACATTTTAGTCTTATAAAACAGTCTGGACAAACTTTTGAAACAAACATTTAACTGTTTTTATTACATTGTATTAAGAAAAGAGTCATACTGGTAGCTAATTACAATATTTTAAATGCATATCTATCAAAGTAAACTAAATTAAAATTGCAATGCTGACAATGAAAGATGCTGTAGTTAAAATAATTTACTGATCATGTTGGGGCATTCACTTTTGATAGTGAAGAAGAGGCATATTAATTATCATGTCTGGGAAAATGAGAGGAACTTAGTGTTGGCACAAAGTGAGACCCAGATATGAATTATGAAAACAGAACTTTCAACTAGACAACAAATTAAAATTGTCCTCCTTGTACAGAAATTCTGAAGTCTCATTTCTTTGTGAAGTCACCCCTGAAGGATAAGTAGAAATGCAAAGAGAAATATGGTTTTAATCACTTTTAGGAAGCTGCATATTCAATATTATTAAAATTATCCAACTCTTGGTCTGATCAGGAAAGCACAGGCTGTTTCAAGAAAATACTGGATATCTTAGAAACAAAGATGATATTGCTCTGGAAATTTTATTGTATTTTTACAATATGGGAAGAAATAGAAGGGCAGTTTCTTTCTTTGTTTTTTTTTTCTTTTTTTATGTGTATGAACGTATTGCCTGAATTTATGTAAGTGTACACCTGCCTGTATCGTGAGCAATGCCCACAGAGGTCAGAAGAGGGTATCAGATCCCCTGGAACTGGAGTTGTTATCTGACATGTGGGTGCTGGGATCCAAACCCAGGTCCTCTGCAAGAGCAGTCAATGCTCTTAACCATTGAACCACCTCTCCAGCCCCAGCAGTTTCTTTTTAAATCCCCACATGTTGTTTTAAATTGGATTTTTTAAAGTTATTCTGCCTTGCATTATGTATAAATTGGGAAGAAGCTAATGGTCTTTCCTTGGGTTTCTCTCACATACTTTCAAGAGTCATTTTTCTTTACTGACAGTTCAGACATAATTCAGTTCAGCCTTTTGCAAGTCTCCCCTACTGCTGATTCTCCAGCAGCCTTTCACTTGCTTCTCCCACTTACCTCACTTTCATCAACCACTCTATGTTCCAGATTATCTGATTCAGCCCGCACCTTCACACAGGTCATAATCAGCCCCCCTGCGTTTAACAAGAGCAGATGCCTTTTTTCTATCCTCACGTCCACATCAGGTTCCCTGGGTGTCCTGGTGGAAATTGCTCAAAGAAATCTTGCCCAACTCTAACACTGAGGCTGCACTGAGTGTTGTGTTTCTCATGAAGCTTTGACACAGAAGTAAAAGAAAGCAGCAATTGCCATCTGACTGATTCTGCCTAAGTCCCAAACACTTCTTCCTAACACAGTTTCAAAATTCCAAACTTGTGAGCCCTCTCATTCTCTATCTCCAGTTGGATGCGAAGTACCACTTCATGATGGTTTCAATACTGTACTCTTTTCACAAACTTTTGAGCACCTTCATTTACATTTTCTCATTAGATATTTACAGACTGAGAGGTATTGAGAGTCGTTACTACTATCTCCATCCTACTTATGAGGAAATTGACTCCTTGGAGCCAAGCTCTCTAATTTAGTTCTTCATAAACTAGTCCTGATAGTACATTGTCCATCTTTCATGGGAAAATGTTTGCATTTTAATAAAGGCTTCTTAAAACTATACAAAGCAGTATTTCAGCTCTATTATATGCTTACCGAAAAATACTTAGAGATTATTATAAATTAAAGTGAATTGAGTAGTATCTATATTCTGGGTACTCTACACATTTACATGGATTGTCTTATCTAATCTTTTTTTACCTTATTTTATTTATTATTTTTATTTTATGTGTATGTGTGTATTGCCTGCATGTAGGTAAGTGCATCCATGTCGTGCAATGCCCGCAGAGGACAGAAGAGGCTGTCGGTGTTGGATCCCCTGGAACTGGAGTTACAGACAGTTGTTAGCTGCCACGTGGGTGCTGTATTCAAACCTGGGTCTTCTGCAAGAACAGTCAGTGTTCTTAACCACTGAGCCATCTCTCCAGCCCCCTCACTTAATCTTTTTAACCTGAAAATAGTGTCATCATATCATTAAACTTATAAAATGTAATAAATAGTAAAGCAGATTTTGAATCCCATATTTTGACTCTCAGAGTATGTATTCTAGACAGTTATTTTACCATCCCTTAAAACACATCATATAAAGAACTACTATAATTTTATAATACTAAACAAAAATAATTTGTAGCAAATTCTAGCTTAAAGGCAATTACTAACAATTGTATCTAATTGTATCTAAGCATAATAACATCTAATTCAACAGAATCATTTGAAAACTTTATTATATTGGGTCCATGACCTTGTGACTTCATCATCCTCAGACAGTTTGATGTAAGTAAATACTATTCATCTCACAGGATTATGTGGGAGTTAGGAATAATATAGCTATATGCTCATATTAAATATTATGATAAACAATTATAGGGTACATTTTTATTATTACTGATTACTCTGCAAGTCCAGAGTTAAATTATGTTCCTGATTGATGTAATCAGAAAGATTCAATGACCCAGTTTCTGAATTAGTAAGAAAGGAAAAAAGTTTGAAGCCAGTTCCACTGGTACCAGGAACAACGTTATTACTAGTAACTCACTGAGATCAGTAAATGATGAAAAAAATGTATGAAAATCTTTCCAAGCTGCTATTCAACTTGTGTAATCCTGTTCTTATTCATTTTCTTTACAAAATTATTATTTGTCGGTCTTTTAATTTATCCCTGTCAAGACCGGATACAAAATCATTTTTGTCACAATCACATTTGATTGAAAAGTTTTTAAATCACTGGACTATGAATTCCAAGAACAGGGACTTCTTCATTTCATTCACTGCAGTAGCCCAAGTTCCTTACAGCAATAGGTACAGCTGTACCTGAAGCCCCTGATACAAGTACATGCTCAGTTAACATTTGCTATGTGAATAAGTGCTACATCTTAATTTAGCAATTATAAACTAGTTCATGGTTTTTTAGAGTGACCAGAAAGTGTTTTCCTACTTGACCTCCATTTTACATTGCTGGCACAAACAAATGATAGCCAGGAATTTCATCCCCTCTTTACTTCTGGCTAGTGACAGCTATTGGCTGGAAGAAGATGCTATAAAGGACCCATTGGTTTCCTGCTGCACTTGCTTACCTTGCAGAATCACAAAATCATCTGATTGAACACCATTATAGTTTCCACACAGGCCACATGATTTCCCTCTATGCTCCTCAGACAGTTTGATATAAATTCCTGATATTCCATCCCAAGCCAACAAAAAGCCAAAGTTTGTTTTCACAAGTATATAGTCAGCCAATTTCTCAATGAGCACCTGACCAATCATCTGTGGCAATGTTAAACTAGAAAAACAGAATAAACAATGTTAAGAATGGTGACCAAGGATCAACTATATTACTGTGTTCTCCAAATGACTTAAATGATAATTTAAAAAGAATTTTTACACAAAGTTATTGAGTAAACTGTGCAGGAAGAGCCCTAAAGTTTTCATTCTATAGGAAATTTCAATATTCTGTACCAATTTAATATTCAAACTAAAACATAAAGAAAACGACACTTTCCTGACACTGATGTAGAGTTAATACTTACAAATTGGTAGTTGTTACAACCAACCAAAAATGCACACCTGCTAATTATACATAATTTTTCAAATGTGGAAATTAACCTTTTGTATTTAGAAGAATGAAATTAAAAGAACCTAAAATTTCAGCTCAATAATTCTAAAGTACAGACAAGCAATGCCAAAATATCAGATATCATTGAGTCCTGATTTTGTTTAATTTCACTTCCAACCAAGAAGAGCTAAACAAATGGACATAGATAAAGCATAATAAATAAGTAAGAAATCATTCAAAAGAACACTGTTCCCCCTACATCCATGAACAGTGCAGTAAAGAACAGGTTCTAATAATAAAAGAAACTTGAAATGCTCATGTTTACTAAGGTAGTCATATAAAAATAAGACAATAAATTGTGATGCAAGATGGGCAGTTCATAGATATATTCATTCCTTTCTCTCAAGTATTTCAAATTAGTGATTTCTGTTACAGAAAGAGCATAGTTCTATCCAACAAAAACTATAAAACTAAGCAAACAAGCAAAGAAATGATCTATCAAAAAAACGCTACAGAATATCTGCAACCTTTTACACGAAGACTGTTTACAAATAAATATTTATAGAAGAGTAGCTATGAGCATAGAAAAATAACTGATCATTTTTAATAGGAAAATGAAGGCCTAGCTAACTAAAAAATGTTCCAATTAAAAGATAAATGTGACGGTGTCACAGTAAAAGTCAGTATGAAATAACTGAAAAATATTACTTGTTTGATGTTACAAGTTTATAAAGAACTAGATTTCAGAGTATCGAATTATAAACGTATTTTATAGTAATGGGATGCTAATTTGGGTGAGGCACTTCTACTGAAGGGGGAGGGTAGTTCTAGTGAAGGTAATGTGCTTTGCTCCTCTGTCAGCCATTTGCTCTCTTTCACTGTAAATTTAATTAACTTAACATTTTTTAAGAGAAAATTAGGTATTCATGATTGTCTTGAAGTTTATAACATAGAAGGATGGTAATAGAGGTGGGGGATGATAGAAAGAGATGAAATTCAATAAGCCTAAGTCATACTCTAGGCAAAATGTGTGTGTGGAGTTTTGATTTTAGTTTACAGTTGGAAACAGTAAAATGTAAGCTGACATAGACACATAGATGAATGTTAAGAAAGTATTCAGGGGTTCATTTGTACCCAGACTCCTCATTTCACAGTTCAGAGAACTGAAATCCAGAAAGGTAAGAGCTGCACATGTTTGAGGAGATTCAGTCATTGCCTGAGTGCTTACTAGGCCGAAAAAAAGCATCAGCGTAACAAGCGTTACCAAACAATAAGACATTCACCCTTTATCTATCATGCACCAGGAATTCCTCACAGAAATGCTCTTTTACCCTTAAAATCAATTATGTCCCCTATTTAACAAAGGCTTAATACTCTTGAAAAATTATCTGAAGGAAATCTGTTTTACAAAATATAATCATGTAAGTTTCCCTACCCAAAATCCCAAATGAAAATTCCTAAATTAACATGTAAGTTTGGCTCTAAGAAATACATGCTTAACTGCATTATTTTCTCATTCAAATACTAAGCTTTTTCTGTTTTTTAAGAAAATTCTCTCTCTCTCTCTCTCTCTCTCTCTCTCTCTCTCTCTCTCTCCCTCTCACTCTCCCTCTCTCTCTCTCTCTCCCCAAGAAGACTCTAGGGCATGTCCTCCGCCATTCTTTTACTCTCTATTAAATCTGTACTAAAACCTAAAACTTTAAAAAAAAAACCTCCAATTTTACTTGAATAAAAAGTGATAAAGAAAAATGAGCCCAGAAATTTAGGCCCTGTGGTACATGCCAGTTTTCCCAGGACTCGGGGCCTGAGACAGGAAGATTGCTGTGAGTTCTAGGCTAGCCTGGGCTCCATAGCAAGTATCAAGCCAGCAGGTCAGCATAGCAAGACCCTGTATCAAGAAAAAATAAACAAAACATTAAAAAATAAAGCAAGCCCCAGACACATGGAGCGGCTGTTCCTGGTTGCTCCCCTGAGGCTTTGCCCAAAGGCCTTTTTTAGACTCCTTCCAGCCCTTTGCCGAATCTACACTGAGGAAAAGCATCATGGGTTCTTACACCATTGCACAGGACAATATTCCTGTGGTTCAAACACCTGATAGTGAATTCTGAACTATGACTAAAGCTGTTCCAGCCCACAGTTTACTTTTTCTGGCATAGCTCACCTGGGAAATGTGTAAAACTGAGTTTCTTTGTGATTAGATTGGAAGTCCGATTATTCCACAGGATTCCTAGTACTAACTGTAAAAAATCTCTGTCACACATAAACATCCTTTCCCTAAACTCTCAGGTCATATTCTTAGCAGGCGGGAAGCCACAGCGGCTGCTCTGATCTATTCAAGGACAGTTATTTACTGGCTCTGAGCCTTTGTCAAAGCCTCAATGGGAAATCTCAAGTGTCACCCAAACTTCATTCTCACAAACTTCCAGAATTCTTTCCAAAACAAAAGAAAATAGATTTTTGTAAGCCCAGCTTTAAAGAAAAAGAGGAAACATTCAAGACAGAGGGTGAAAATAATCAGAGTTGAGCTACATAAAAATACTTCTTGAGTTTCTCCTCAGTAAAAAGAGTGTGATCATCCCCTAAGAACCTGTGTAAACTTATCTGTACCACACACAGGCAGTGCAAAGTGGAACCTGCTTGACTACCGAAGGTTTAGCGTTGGTGATGAGAGTTCCGCCGAAAAACAAGTCCTCTCTTCCTGCACTCTGTGATTTCATTTCTAGTGTGAAATACTTGAAAATTCAATGAATTTGTGGAATCATTTTCATTTTCCCATTTTTTCACCTTACCTGATTCCATTCTTTTTTATTTGATGACCATAAATTCGAATTTCCTCTTGGTTTGAAAAGAATAAGCTGATAGACCGATAACAGAAGTACACTGAACCAATGCACTTAGGGCTGTTATGAACCTTAAAGGGAGAAAAACATGAAGGAAACCTGAGAAGCAGCGAAGCAGGACCCGTCACTGACTAAAACCACTGTGTCTACAGGTCCACAGCATGAGTTCTGTGACACTTTACAAAGTAAGAAGTTTCGAGAGAAAATATTTACCTCAGAAGCAACAACAGAAGTAACTTCCTGAAATACGAATTGCTTTAACATGTCTGTAACTTCTTCTTAACCTTTACATGTCAGATTCTAATACTACAAAGCTACATGGTATATACTGGAAAAAGTTAGATGGATAGAAAAACTGCAAATGTCACAAGCAAACACACTTGTAATCATGATATCCATATTTTGATACCTGTATAATATCATGAGGGACCTTTGAATGGGCTCTATACCAAATAAAATTTATAGGTTGGCAAAGTGACTGTGACATCTAAAAACAGAATTGATTTTTTATTTCCTTTAAAGGAGAAAAGAATTTAGTTTATTAGGAAAAAGAGCAAAGAAGATTAGAAAAGGAAAGAAAGAAAAGCAAAGAGGAGTGTTACATTCTCCTAACCTACCTCAAAATTAAATTTAGTGGGCCCAAAACTAAAGTATAAGTAACAAAATAAAAAAATAACTGAAAAATAGGTAACTATATAAACAAAAATTCTTTCAATCATAAAAGGGATAAGAAAATCACCAATAACAAGAGATTTTACAGGCTGTAGCAATTTACTGATACAAATGTATATTTGATAAATTTTATTGATCACTTCTTATGTATCAAGTACTGCTATGCATTCTATGGATACAGCTGTCAATAAAACAGACAAAAATATCTACCTTCCTTAAATTTGTAATCCACTATAGCGAGAGAGGTAAAATACACAACTAAAAATAAAATACTTCGTGTTTGATAGCGTTAAGGAGAAATATTAAATAAAGAGAGAGATAGGTAACACACGTCAAGACTTGGTGAGGTAGAGATTTTAGACGCCTGGCCAAGGAAGACTTCTCTGAGACAGAGAAATTATGGAAGAGATGGAGGATGAGGGCAAGTCACTTGGGAGACCTAGAAGCCTATTAGCCAAGCAGGCAACAAGTACAAAAGCTCAAGGCACGAGTTCCCTAAAAATGCTCTCAATATCCAGGAATCCAGTCCCATTGGAATGTTAAGGGGCAAAGGGAAAACACTCACTAATACTGGAGACCTCTCTAAAGAAACCAGAGAACACCGCTCAACCTCAGGTCAACCAAACAAGCCTGCTCCACATGTCAGTAGATCCCCACCAGCTTCTAGATAAACCTTATTCTCAAGTATGAACAAATATTCATGAATTATTTATCATTTGAAGAAAGTCTATACCATGAAAGACAAAAATCAAAGAAACAAACAATAAAAAGAAAATCAAAGCAACAAGAACTTTTTTCGTTTTTTGGTTTTGGTTTTGGTAAATAGTAAGTGCTCAATATAATCAAATGCTGAATTAAAAAATAATATGGAGAAGTAAAAAAATAAAATTTAAAAAGTACAATTAATATCTTGGAAAGAAAAATGAGTGCATGAAATATATAAAAACACTATAAAACGCTTTGAAAGAAAGAAAATTCTAAGAATAAAAACAAATGGATGAACACTGACAGAATGATTAGAAGAAATTAAATAATCAGAAGGTAGGAAGATGTATGAGTTGAAAATAAATCTCCTAAAATGAAGATCAATAAAGCAAAAAGATGGAAAACAGGCAAGAATCAATAAGACAATTCAGAGATCCCTCAGTTTGGGAGCTCTGCTACCTAAACAACCCAGTTTTGAAGAACAAGAAGAATATTGCTCCAAAACAGAAGGGCTTGTAAAGGATTCAGGTACAACAGGAAAATAAATAAATAAATCTCACTTAACCATGTCATCTCAGCCCCATGAGGTAAGGAAAAGATCTAAACATTTTTTAAGGAGAAGCAGGGAAAAGCTTGTATGAAAATGCTCAAAAATCAGAGTGAATTGAACTTGAGCAAGTCTAAAAAGCAGGGCTGGCTAGGCCTCTAAAATATCACTACAAACCCTGGCCATGTGCTCAGAGCTAATCTCAAATATAAACAAAGTTCCCAGATCGCAAGACCTTTGCTTGGATCGAAGAAACAAGAATGAAAAGAAGAGAATTCTCCAGGACAGCGAGAAGAAACCCCAAGTGTTGTGTAGAGAGGCCTAAGAAGCAGCCAGTCTGATGGGAGCAGAAGGAAAAGTGGAGGAAGAGGATGCCCCACGGGAGAAGGGAAACCCACAGGTGCAGCGTCAAGAAGAGTTAGAGGAAAACAAAAACTGTGAGTGTAGTAAAGAAAATGCAGAAAACAAACAAACAAATAGGCTAATTGTTTACCTTAAGAAAATGCATGAGAAAAATGAAATCATTATAAATTACTGTACTTGGGTCTAACCTGTTTGCATAGTGACAATGTCATTAAATTCACAGATTGATTTGACCAAAAATATTATTATAACTAATGGAAGAAGGGAAGAGCTAGGGTTATTCGTATATGTCTATGTGTTTACGTGCATGTGTATGAGTTTGTGTGTACGTGTATGTCTGTGTGTGTGTCTGTGTGTGTGTGTGTGTTACTAAGCAAAAATCATATAATCAAGATGGCGCCTCATTTTCTTCAGGAAGAAGTGAACAGATATTGTATAACTTTGAAAACTGAAAATATAATCACATTTTTGTTTATTTTTTTATTTTATGTGTTTTGCCTGCATGTTTGTATGTGTGCCGGTGTCATGGAATGCCTGTGGAGGAGAGCAAAGGGCATCAGACCCTGTGGAAGTGGAGTTAGGAATGGTTGTTGGCCCCCATGTGGGTGCTAGGAACTGAACCTTGGTTCTCTGCAATAGCAGGTAGTGCCCTTAAACTGAGCCATCTCTCCAGTCCCAAAATAACCATATTTTAATGTAAGATAAAAGCCAGAAGAAAGATCAAAAAGTTAGAGCAATTACTTTGAGGAAGCCAGACCTCAGTTGCCCTGGGAAATGAAGGACACAGAGCTGCTTTTGCTACTCATGTCTTGATGAAATCTTTAAAACAAGGAGTTCAAGTGACCAGAGTCCCGGGAGAGTGGAGGTTGGAGATGGTAAAGGACAATGAAAAAACAAAGAACCCTGGGAGCACTCAAGATGTACCTCCTGAACTATCCAGTCTCAAGAGACTTCAGTGTTATCCTACTGTCCAAAATTTAACTTTCAATATACCACACTGCTTTATGGGCCACAGACCCAGAATACAGAGCAAAGTTTTGGGTCCTGTTTTTGATATTTCTGTCACCCTGGGTGGGGGGCGGGGGAGAGCAGTGAAATTTGGAGAACTGCGACATAAGTTAGAAGGGAAAAAACACTACAACTGAAACATTTTGGCTATAGTTAGCTTTTAAATGGGACGGTGCAGTGCTTCCCTGGTTGTGCTTTGAGATGTCGAGCAACTCAGGAAGGGATGGTAGGCGGGAAACAAGGTAGGTCCTTGACTTCCCTGCTTCAGCTAGTGCTATTTATTCTGCACCCTGAATTTTGAAATTTTTCTTAAGAATTCATTGAACCCGGGAATTACAGAACTAAGAACTGAGTCTCTGATTTCAATCATACATTATTAATCTACCTAACATTTACGTAGTTCATGTTGTCCCTTCCATACGTGTCAACCTCTGGCATACAGGAAAGATGCCATTTTATTTTATTTTGTATTTTTATTTCCTTATTTACTTTTGGAGATGAGGATTAAAACCAGAACCTTGTGCATGCTAAGCATTCACTCTACCACCGAGCTGTATTTCCTAGCCCAGAGGTTCCATTTTTGAAAAATTAAAACAAGCGAGCATCTCAATCAAAATATAAAGAAGGAATTAAGTATGAATAATACAACTATTGTCTGATGTTTCTCTCTTCAAAATTATCCAATAAAACCTAAGGAGCAGGGATATTGATGAGCATTGATTCAATAGCACTCATGATATAGACATTTCTAAATGTGTGCCTGTAAGACCTTCTCACATGGATTCAAACCCTGTTGCAAATGTCTCAGTCATCATCTCAATAGAATTTTATGCCATCTTCGCACAAATGGAAAATTCCATTAAGAGTGGAGCCCTAGGTATTCTACAATTAGTCTATTTCCCATCATTTTCATAATACTTTTAAAATATACCCTTTCCCAGAGGTAATTTTTGAACTTGATTACATCCTAATACCACCTACCCATACTGTGTACTGAGGTTCCAAATTACCACAGTCCTTTGCAAATATATAAGAACAACTTCCTGGGAAGTAATAGTAGAGTCCATCAAACGTTTCAAAGTGATACTGTCCCCAGGTTTTGCAAATCCCATCTCTGCCATTGCCCATGTTTGGAACTGAAAAGAAACAGAATTATATTTAGAAGTATAAAATAAATTGCATCTATCTCTGATACTGTATAGTCATGTTAAGTGATTCTAATTTCCATTCAAGTATTTTCTTTTGGGGTGGTTCATGGCACTGGAATACATAGCTAGCATAGAATTATCAGGTGCTCTCAAAACTATCCAACTTCTTGAAGAAAGATCAGGTCTCCAAGTTTCTAGGAAGAAATGTCTTACATTAGAAACTTCCTTATTTTGTTTCCAAAAGACCGTTCAGTGAAAGGAAGAGTAAGGAAGACGACAGGCGAAGACGTGGATAAAGCACATGAATGACCCGGAGTGGAAACAGATGTTACCACAGAGTGGCCTACAAACTAGCATAGGCAGCACAAGAATGCGCTAGTTCCTGCACGTCCTTTAGAAATGAATATTGTCTGATATTTCTGTCTTCAGAATTATCCAATAAAACCCAAGGACCAGGGATATTGATGAGAGTTGATTCGATAGCACACATGATATAGACATTTCTGTGTTTACATGCCCAGAAATAGGGACTTGAAGCGCTACGTATTCAGTTTCCAGGAACCTAGGAAATCATGACCTCAAACTGGCGAAACATAGAAAAATATTCATCTTCAGTCACACAACTCCATCCATTATCATCATGCTTCCCTAGAGATAACCTTCTATTCATTTTTCACTTTTTATTTACTTTTTATTTATTTTATAATTATTGTGTGTATGTGATATGGGGGGGGGGTTGCTGCCATGACACAAAAGTGTCAAAGGACAATTTTGTGGAGTTGTTCCTCTCCTTCCACCTTTGCATGAGTTCTGGGAATGAAACTCATATCATCAGGCTTTATGGCAAGGGCTCTGCTTAACCATCACACCAGCCCTTCAATTTTTATTTTTTAAATGCTTCACTTTATAATAGTAGAAACCAGTAACATTTGCTAAGTAGTCAGTGGCTGAGTTTTTTATATACTCTGGGGAGAACAAAAGATAAGAAGCAATCTTAGTGGTTTTTTTTTCCTCCTTCTTGAAATGTTTACCTAAATATATTAGCTTTGGCCAACTTTGGTCCATTCAGGAAAAGACACAGAATGGTTCATTTTATAGACAGTCTTCCCTAACAACATATCTTACATCTTGCACTTTCCTTTCACACACGTCACAAGTTTAACTATTGCTTACCTCTTATGCATTGTTTCCCTTCTCTAGGTTGTAGGAAGCTATGCCCTCACAAATATGCCCTCCTGGTGCCTAGCATATACAGTCCCGCAAATGCTTAATATCAGTTAAGCAAATTAATATCTGTAGATAAGTATTAATGTAAGATCCTATCTTGGACTGTAGACAAAAGTATTTAAAAGAAAAATAATCTCCGGGGCTGGAGAGATGGCTCAGCGGTTAAGAGCACTGACTGCTCTTGCAGAGGACTTGGGTTCAATTCCCAGCACCCACCTGATGGCTAACAACTGTCTGTAACTCCAGTTCCAGGGGATCCAACATCCTCTTCTAACCTCTGTGGGCATTGCATGACAAGGTACATACATGCAGACAATACACTCATATATATAAAATAAAGATAATAAATAAAATATTTTCTTAAAATAAATATAATCCC